TTGTTGATGTTATTATTGTTATGATTCCCCTTATCGCCTGGTCAGTGTGACACCGAGACGGACTCCTGGACAGTCTGTCTTGGTACTCACCGGTCATGACCTCAGACTCAGAGACTCAAGGATATTCACCTTCAGCAAAACGTGTTACACAAAATATAATGACCCGCGATGGTCCTTGTCTTGCCGTCTTTATCACGCGCAGACGTCACGACTGTGAGGCCATAGCACGGTTGCTGAGGCCACCGACGGGGTCCTGGGCTCTGGACCCTCGCTATCTCGAACGCCTGCCATCTGATACCGTGTCTTGTTCCCGCACGCTTATCTCTCTGCATTTACAAACACTACAATGCATTTTAGGGGACGCCGTAGCTTTATCAGAAGCTGCTATCACAAATGCCCTCTCATTCATCCTTGTCATGCGTGTTTACAAGCTGGCTACTAAAAGCGCTCTCGAAACTTCGGGGGAGATACTTGACTCACTGACTGGTGGGAGTGAGTTTAGCTGTAAAGTGAGGAGGGAGGGTTGGGGGGGGGGGTTCGGATACAACAGTTCAGATCAATGACAAACAATGTAAACTATCTGCAAAACAGTTGTAAAGAGAAAAAACAACTGACATGTAAGACGTTGGTTGTCGTTTGGGCTAAACAGTAAAACGTTAACAAGATAACGGAGTGTCATTCCTTAAAATGGAAGCCACACCGGCAGACATTAACCACAAAGGGAAAAAGAGAAAAGGAACTTAGCAGCTGAATCTTCCCTCCTTACGTTATTCCTTCCCCCATCCTCTGGAGAGAAGAGAGGACACGAATCACACTTAAACAAAAACAGGTTCAAAGCACAATTCCCCCCCAAAAAATACGATGAGAGAGAGAGAGAGAGAGAGAGAGAGAGAGAGAGAGAGAGAGAGAAAGCACGTATGGGTTGGTAAAAATAAAGCTTTCGCGCTATCAGAACAAGCTAAGGTCCCAGTGACTCAACAGAATGACATTAGAAGACGCTGTGCATTTCATACATACATACATAAGGTAATCGGGGGCTGAATTGAGTTACTCGAGACTAAACGCCCATGCCTGAACACCTGCGCGATTTTCAGCACACAAGCATTATCAAAAACAAATACTGGGTTTGTGGTAACGTCCTAGATAGTAAGCCAAAACTTTCAAAGACACTTCTCGGGACATTTCTTTTAGTAAATCAGTCCGCATTCCAACTTCTACATATAATCTGGGAAAAGATGGTTTTACTCGATTTCTTTCTTTACTCGAAACTAGCATACGGTGTTGTTAAATCATTGGAAGTAAACTTCGGAGCGCTTTTTTTGTCTAGTGACAAAAAATGCACTTTTGTGAAGGCTAAGCTTTCAAAAATGTTCTTAAGCCTCTAAACTGCACCTGCTCTCCTCTATATAACTCCCATACTCAGGTCCGGAGCTATCGCAACAAAACCTTTCCCAGTATGTGAGGTTTTGGATGGTAGCGATATGAGGTAACATTTTAAAAAATAAATAAAAGTTTAAAACACTTCGTGCGCCGGTCGGGGTGGCATCAAAGAAGTCTGTTAGAGGATATAGCGGTCAATCTCAAAGCATAATTTGAAAAATGAAGCCAAATATTTAATTTTAGTCCTCCAAGACAACACTTTGGAGCGGAAAACAATGAGTGCCCGGTTTTAAAAGCCAAATGAGACAGAGTAAGAATTTTTCACGGCCTGGTTGGTTAAGCGATGGGGCTCATTTCTAATGAATGGAGAAAAAAAAATTAATTCCAGGAATTCTGTGAACTGGGCAACAGAAGTACGGCATGATATGAATGAGGGAGATTTGTACGTTAAAAAAGCAACATTGTCGGTAGCTTTAGCTCTTAACTCTATCCGTACGCTCTGGGGTCATTTTGTACCCCAGTGGTTGTATTCTTCAGATTTTAGAATACTTCCAGTACGAAGATCTCTTTGAAACTTTCAGTATTTCTAAAAAAAATCATTTTGACAGATCGGATTAACGAGTAAACTTCCTCTTTGGAAAGTAGTGGCACAGAGTTCCCCAGGTCGCATGTGGCGATAGTAAAACACCAGGTACGGATAGGGTTAAGGTGTCATAGTGCCTTTTGGTTGTGTTGAATCAGTTCTGGGGCTCCGTGGAGCAGTCCTGTGGTTATGAGGCAAGAGATCGGCAACGGTTGGTGCAGGATGGGACGACCCCTCACAGTTTTGAACCCATTTCACCTTTTTCAAAACTTTCTTTCTTTGTGGTTATCTCAAAGATCAAATCCAAACCCTTCGGGAACTCAGAAATCACGTTTTGGGGTCAGTGAGAGATTCAAAGCCACAGCAGTGTGAGAACGCTATACAACACAACATGTCTTTGTCAGAATACGGAAATGCATTGCGCAAGAT